TGTGGCCTCTCTCTGCACCTATTGCCCTATCCACTGTAAGGGTTCCCTAATACTTAAAATCAAAGTCATTTACTTGTTAAGAATCTTTTTCATTTTGTAATATTATTTACTTTTTAAAAGAATTTATTTAATGTGATTATTATGATTATTATTATTATTATTTAATTTGACCAGAGAGAGAGGTGGGGGGGGATGAGAAAGCAAATTACCAGGTTCAGAACTTAAAATGTGATTGGCCATGTGGGAGTCCAGTGCCTTCCCCACCATGACACCTGCCTGCCCCACTATTATTTACTTCTGACTGATTGCAGTGCATATTTCCAAAATGATGATGGTTAAAGATTCCATGAAACAGCATACCAGTTTAAAAAGGACAGAAAGTACAAAATCATATGAGGAGAGAATAAGTAACGTGGATTAATGAAATTTTACATTTAGCTATATGTTTCCCAGGAGTCAAGGCAAAAAAAAAAAAAAAAAAAAGACACTTTAGTTAGCATTTGGCAGTGACTTTTGTGGTTGTTCATTGTGTGTGTGTGTGTGTGTAAAGTTTTTTATCCTCATGTATCTTGTCTCACTAGCTTTATTACTTTTTTTTTTTTTAGAGATTTTTGCTGCAGGGTGTGTATACTCACTGGAGAGACAGAGACAGAGTGAAAAATCACCCCTGGAAGAATGGCCATGCTGCAATCCCTTCTTCATTCTCTTGGGATTGTGGGTATGCATGCACACACACCCAGCATGAGTTTCAAGCCTCCAGGTTCAGTATTAGAAACACACTGTACCACGTGAGAGCCCAGTACCTTAACCACTATGCCAGCAGTAATACCTGTAACCTTTGTGATTGCTAGGAGTTACTTTAGAAATTACACAGCAAAACATCTAATCTAGTGTATCGCATGAACTTGATAAATTAATCGATGGCTAATGTGATAACAGAATCACAAATTTGAAGCCATTTTCTTTACATAGAAAATCCATATAAATACATAATAACCATGTGAATGGAAATACGAACAGGAAACCTAGAAATCCCAGATGGATAAAGGAGGTTCTGAGAATGTGACCACTTTAATTAAAGGAAATTTAATTAAGAAACTTTAACTTTAGCTAAGGAATCATTTATAATCTACTTAATTTTGGGGTAAATGTCTCTCTCTCTCTCTCTCTCTATATATATATATATATATCTCATAATATAAAGCAGCAAAATTTTAGTAAGATAAGAAAGTCATTTCATTGGGACTAAATTGTGTACTCCAGTTCATGTCATTAGCACCAGTGGATTAGATGATAATTCTCCAGCTTTTGAAATATCAATTCATGGCACACACATCTTCTGAATTTTCTTTCTCTCCTGAAATAACTGTTTTATGGGACTGAAAGAATACTGTGTAGATATACTCTGTTGATCTTCACATTTCACACTGATGTTTCATTTATTCTCTATCTAGAGTTTTTTTTTTTTAACTTGTAGTAGGGATTTTTTTTTTTTAAATATATAGTGCATGTGCTCTTACCAGAGAGAGCTAGAAAGAAGGGAAGTGAGAAATCACCCCCTAGGGGGGATGGCTATGGCACAATCCCTCCTCCTCCTCCATTCTTCTCTTGCGATTTTGGGCATGCACACCCATATGCCTGACATGATTCTCCAGCAGCCTGTTCCAGGACTTGAACTGTGCTGTCAGACATGTGGGATCCAGTGCCCTAGCCACAATGCCACTTGCTGGCCTTAAGAATAGGGATTAAAAAAAAAAAACACAGGGGAAACTCTAGTCTGGCATTGTTTTATAGCAATTTCTCTGATGTAAGAAATGTTATCTATCTGTGACTCCAATGGTTATAGAAATGTTCTCTATCTGCGTTACTGGATTTGGATGTTGAACACTTGAATTGCAGTTAGTTTACTGAGAACTAAATTCTAATTTTATTTAACATTAGTTATTTGAATTTTAAATTTAAATGGTCATAAGTGGCTACAGTATTGGACAGGGCAACCCTTACAGGGCTGCTTGCTCTTAGGCCAGTCCTTGCCTTACTTGATTAGGTACTTTTCATTCCACTATGTTCTTTATTATTTGTGAAGTTTCAAGCTACATGCATTATCAGTAAACTTCTCGGTGTCTTTATCATGTTAAAAGTCCATGCTGTCAAAAGTAAAATGTAAAGACATTGATTATTTACGGTCATTTATTTAACAGGGAGAGGATCATCCCGTTTTCTATCATGTTTGTGCTTAAACTCAAAGATAGAAATGTATTCAATAGGAATCTCAAAAGGGGTAGGTAGGCTCCCTTTTGTGGGACTTACTGATATGCAGGGACTCTTTGGGAATATTTTTGAAATTCGCATTTTTAACCTTGATTTCTCTGCAGGGCATTCTCCGAGTCCGCTCTATGCTGGGCATCTGAGTAAGTGGGCCTGCCAAATTCTTCTCCAGGTGGATTATTCTGTTTGTCTTGTTTTGCTCACTGTTCTATGAGCAAGTGGGTGGGGTTTGGTTCCTTTAGGCTAGCAGGAGCTTGCTCTACGTCTTTCTTTTTAATTTCTTTAATTTGAGGATCCCCACACTTGCTCTTTGAAATGCTATTTTGTAAACTGCTATTTCCTCTAAGCCTGTTATGCTTTTTTTCCATCTGCGTTGAAGTCTCTTTTCCCAGTGGGGCCTTTCTTTCTCAACTTAGTCATGCCATGTGTGGAGGTCCACATCCACACTGCTGGCCTCTCTGACTCATCCCGGGAGGTTCACTTGCTCCAGGGAATCCCACTCACAGTGCAGTGGAACAACAGGGAGGATCCAATGAAGAGAGCCCTTTCTGAAATCTGCCTCTTTTCCTGGCAATTCTCCTTCTTGTATAAAGCTACTTGACCAGGGAAAAAAGTAAAAATGTCCTTCTCCTCTTAAGGTAATGTTTTTAGTAAATATTTTTAAGCAATCTAATTTCCAATTTATAAGGTCCTTTTGTTGATGCTGCTACTTTTTAATAGTCCATAATCTGGCTAGTTGAAAAACCCATGAATGCTGCAATTTTCTCTTTTTTCCTACACAAGCCAGCCAAGAGAGTCAATTCTGAAAGTTACATTTTCCTTCCAGTTACAGATTAAACTGTTCCCCCTTTTGAAATATATTATTCATAAATGTGAACAGTCTCTGAACGGTGGCTCCTCCCATCCACAGATAGGAAGCCAGGTGGGTGGAAACTGTTCATTCTCTTTCTTGGTTGCTCTGGGGTTGTGGAGAATGGGGTCTTCACCTTCTAATCCTCCAAGGCCCAGATTTTCCTTAGCCCTTCTGGTCCCTCAAAGAATACCCTTTGCCAAGGATGGCTCAAGCCCATGATTTCCCAATCCAGATGGGTTCAGACAATAAATTTCTCCAACCAGATTTGCTAAAAGAGTCAAAGTTGAATAACATAATGATAACAAAAAAGCTGACCACTGAGTCAGATCGAAGTTTGCTCAATTGCCCAGTTAATTCATCTATTTTTAATCTCACCGAGCACATCTTGAAAGTATAAAACAGAACTCCAACTCTGATGTCCCATTAGCTCAGGACAGGCTGACCTACGCAGTCACTAAAGGAGCAACTTTGCACACCTAGCTTAAGGTGTCTGTAGGAGAAATCTAGAGGAACACATTATTTTTGGTTTTGTAAACTCACTTAGCTGTGCACAGATGCCATATTTTCCTAGGTAAGAAGATTTCTTCATATATATATCTGTATGTGTGTATGTGTGTGTGTGAGAGAGAGAGAGAAAGAGAGACTTCAAAAAGTTCAAGAAAAATGGAATTAAAGTATGTGTTTATTTTTAGGCAAAAAATTAAAAATCCATGCATATTTGTTTCATAGACATATTTTCATGATCTTTTTGAAACCCGTATATAAAATATGCCATTTGTCCTTAGCATTACCATCCATTTTATTATTTTTAAGAAAATAACTTCCGATATTTTTAGCTGGGGAACATGCCTATTTTGCCTTCTAATGCTCACCCTTAGCAAGAGTCCATATGCAATCATCTTACTGCCTTCATACCAATTACTGCAAGGGGTGCCCTCGCTAGACTTTCCACCTGGGAATGGAACTCAAGTATGTCATCCTCCCCAGGAGTGTGGGCCCAACTGCATCTGAAGTCAAGCGGTTCCTTTCCCAGTGTAGTGATAGAAAATGCTACAAAACTCAGGTTAATTCAATTCCAGTTGAGCTCCCTAGCAGGAGCGAAGTGTGACCTTCTAAGAGCCCAGGGAACTCCCCACAGATACCCATGTGTGTGCTGCAAAGCTAGAGCAGGATGCACAGGCTGCTTGTCAGAGGAGAGCTGCCCAGGCCCTGACAGCAGCCCCTTGGGCACTTCCTAGCTGGCCGCCTCAGCGAGAGAAAGAGAGACTTCAAAAAGTTCAAGAAAAATGGAATTAAAGTATGTGTTTATTTTTAGGCAAAAAATTAAAAATCCATGCATATTTGTTTCATAGACATATTTTCATGATCTTTTTGAAACCCGTATATAAAATATGCCATTTGTCCTTAGCATTACCATCCATTTTATTATTTTTAAGAAAATAACTTCCGATATTTTTAGCTGGGGAACATGCCTATTTTGCCTTCTAATGCTCACCCTTAGCAAGAGTCCATATGCAATCATCTTACTGCCTTCATACCAATTACTGCAAGGGGTGCCCTCGCTAGACTTTCCACCTGGGAATGGAACTCAAGTATGTCATCCTCCCCAGGAGTGTGGGCCCAACTGCATCTGAAGTCAAGCGGTTCCTTTCCCAGTGTAGTGATAGAAAATGCTACAAAACTCAGGTTAATTCAATTCCAGTTGAGCTCCCTAGCAGGAGCGAAGTGTGACCTTCTAAGAGCCCAGGGAACTCCCCACAGATACCCATGTGTGTGCTGCAAAGCTAGAGCAGGATGCACAGGCTGCTTGTCAGAGGAGAGCTGCCCAGGCCCTGACAGCAGCCCCTTGGGCACTTCCTAGCTGGCCGCCTCAGCTCACCTTAACCACGTCGTCATTGAGATGCTTGGGGTCGCGGTTGACCAGGTCGATCTCCTTGGTGTGCGCGTCATACACTTGCTTCTCATTCACCTCGTCTGCCATGGCCTTGTTGTTGGGCTTGTAGATGTTGCCCTGTTCCCGGATGGGAACAGTGTAGAGATGTCCCTGCGGAGGGCAGATGGCCAGGAGGGGGAGGGTGGCAACGGCGTTGGGAAGAAAATTTCAAAAAGAAAAACAAGCGATCAGAAGTCAGTCTGGCGGCGAGGAAAATCTCGAGCTCGAAATCGAACTAACCGCTTCGACAGCGAAGGTTCTGCGCACAGAAAACTCGCGCCGCAAGCTTTTTAAGAGGATCACAGAGAGGACACCACACCCCTCGGTACCAGGCAGGGAGCTCCGGCCTCCCCCGCCCGCCGCCAGGGGTCAGGGCAAACCCCACTGAGCGGTCAGCCCTGGCCTCCGCCCCGCGCAAACCCAGCCAGCTGTACCCCGCGGAGACCCCCGGACACCAGGAGGCCGATCTCTGTCTCCTCTCCAACTCCGGTCTCTGCAGCTCCACTCGCGCCCAGTGCTTCACCTGCTCCATTTTCCGTCCGGGTTCCCCATTACCCTTGTCCCCAGAATGCCTTCCAGTCTGTCCTTAAGATCTATCCGGAACCTTCTGATCTTAGTTGTGGTCGCATTACCTTAGCTTCTTGGTCGCACCTGCCGGTACCCCTCCCTCACTCTCTACGTTGTCTAGTCCCTTCCTGGCTCGCCCATCCCCCCTGTTTTCACACCCTTGCATGCCCCCACCTGTGGGCCAAGCCGTACACTGGACCCCCTAAAATTTCCTAGAACTCTATCTCACCTGCCCAGCTCCCCCAATCCACCCACCCTCCTCGGGTCGCTTCCAGGCTCCCGCCCGCAGCTGAAAGGCTGAGACTGCGTTTGGAGAAACCAGGTCCCTACACCCGGCGGAGTCCGAGCACCGAGAGGTGGCGGGAAGTGGTGCTGGTAGTTGGGGGAGAGGAGTCCCACCCCTCTCCGACGCCCTTGCCAGACGCGGAGATGCTAGAAGAGTTCTTGAGATGGTCCAAGAACTTTGGAAAGTACAAGCACGACGCGCGCCGCCGCCGGGCCCGCCGATTCAGGCGCCTGGCGGGGACTCACGGGGACTGTCCCCAGGACTATGGGTAAATGAACCCCCACCCCGCACTCCAGCTCCCCGTCTCCCAGCAAGCAGGCGGACTGTGGGGGTGCTCCCTGGGCCCATCCAAAAATGTGCCAACGATCCGGCAGACCCATCCCCAGGACCCCAACACCCCTTGCCGCGTTCTAGCCTAGGGGCATCCTTTGAGCTCCCTCCCCAATAGAAAAAACATAAAACATTCCTGAGTTCTCTTCACCTCCCCGCCCAGGCCCATTCCTTAGCGGTGCCAACGCGGGAGGAGTGCTCCGAAGTGGGGAGAGGGCTGAGACAAGGAGAGCAGTCGGAATATTTGGAGTGGGAGATAGCAGAAGCAGGCACTCCACGCGCGCCCTGCCCGGCGCGCCCCCACCAAGCCTACCTCGGAATCTACGTATTTGCCCCCAGACATGCTGGTCTGTGGCTGGATGAAGGCTCTGAGGAGGTTTCCCTGCGCTGTGATTTAAGGGAACTAAGGAAGGAAGATGTTGTATTGTATACAGGGGAAAAAGGCGCTGGCGGGGGGGCGGTGGCAGGGAGGGAGTCTCCTGGCTGCCCGCCAGGGGTTTGTTCTGCTCGCGGTTGGCCGGGACGTGCGCTGCGCCGGGTCTAGGCACATCCCCAAGGTTCTGGCAGCAGAGGGCGGGAGCGCCCGCAGGCAGCAGAGAGTGAGAAAGAGTTTCAGCCGCGCTAGGCTGCTTGGGCAGATATTTTAAACCTGGGGCAACATTTTCCCAGCTATAAACCACCCAGAGGCGTCCCGGGGAGAGCGAATGTTTTCGCAGTGCATCATCTCAGCAGGGGTGGAGGGAGCCGAGCAGCCTGCCCAGATGCCCAGTATGGGCAACCGAGGCGGCAGAAACAATTCTGCCCTGTCCTAAGCGGTTTTTTTCCCCCATCCGCCACGTTCCACAGCTGCCTAAGATACATCTGTCTCTCTGTTTCACGGAGGAAGGGATGAAAAATGGCTCGGGAACGTTAGGTACCTTTCACGTCTAAACACAAGGAAGGAATCTGTGTGGGTGCTTGTGTGTGGTGTGCTTTGGTGACGCTAGTTTGCATCTAGTCGGTGTGGATGGAAACTTGGGAAAGCAGGCGTGCAGAATTTAACGTTTCCCACCCGCTTCCAAAATCTCTCAAACGTTTTGAAGTAAGAAACAAAAATGTTTAACTTTTCTGTAATTTTATTACTGATCTTTTTGGAACAAAAGAAATTCATGCCAACAGGTTATACCGTATTTGCAGAACACATTAAATATTTACAATTGTAGAAATACTGAATTACAACTTCAAGTTTATTACCAGAGGATTTATTCTTTGTAAAAAATTGTGTTTGGCTGGGAGGGGCAACTTGACTTTTCTACTAATCGACTAGTCTTAAAAGAACACATGTTTGTAATTAAAATATTCTGAATTTGGAGTTTATTTCTCACAAGAAAAACTAAACAGCAATCAAGTTCTTTTATCTGGGGGTTATAGTAAGTCAGAAAGCTCACTATCCCGAAGTGAAAAGGGCATTTTACCTAAGGTTCCATGTGCAATCAAAAAGCAAATTATCATTTGAAATGAAAAGGCTGAGGATGCACTTGAAAGGGCACAGATGAAACTGCAAATACTAGCAGTAAAGGAAAGGGAATGTGGGGTAGGGGTACGGAGGAAGAGAAGGGGAGAGAGGATAAAATGCTGAAAGAGTTGATTATCTAGTTGGAAAGGAGACATGAAAATATAAAACAGCGATAAATGACAGGACTGCGGAGAGTAAAAAGGCAGTGCAGTTTGTACAAAGATCAGTTTCAACAAGGAATGGCAGGGAAAATGTCGAACCGTTAGAAATGTTGGCATGACTTTCTGCAGGCCATCCATCATTAGACTTTCACATGCGTAACTTTCTTAATTTCATTTCTGTCAAGTAGCATTTCTAAATTCCTTGAATAAATTGTGTGTGAGCAAACATCATCTGCTAGAAAAGGACAGCATTAGCTGTGTTCTAGAACACACACACAGGGCCGTAGCTTGGAGTCCACCTCCAACGGTTGCTGAAAGCTTGTTGTTCCTTTAGCTTTCCTTCATAAATGTTTGGGGTTGTGTTCTATGGAAAAATGTGGAAACCGTTTCCCCTCTATTGTTATTCAGTCTTCAGCTGCAATGAGTAATCTTCACTGTGAAAAAAGTCAACAGGAACACAGAGGGAGCTTGCCCAGCATTGCAGTAAGGAAACACTTTCAGGGGAGGCCCCTGAGTGAATGCTTAACTAGTACTCAGCTTGGAAAAGTTCCTTGCTGGAGAAGTCCACGTTGAAGTAGAATCAGCAGCGGCACACAGAATCATAATGATCAGTGAAGCATTGCCAATGCCAAAACAAATTCCTAATGAGAGGAAAAACCACAAACTCTTCCGTTACCTGTCTCAACAAGAAGCTGGCACCAAAGAGAAACAGATCACATTCTGGCTGTAATAGTTGACTTGGACAAACAACTCCAACTTCATGAGAATTAAAGAAAAGAAGAACATTGTTAGCATAGGTACAAGATTTGAAGAGAATAGATGATGTAAACAATTTTGTTTCTTTGATACACAGATAAGTTTTAGGCTTGGAGGCAAGTTAATCATTTTCTCCAAATCATTTACTAAAAAGTGGGCTGATGGGAACTCCTTTGCCCTCTCTCTCTCTTTCTCTTTTAGAAACAGCATTAAAGGTCAGCTCATAAATTATATGTTACTACGAATATAGAGCTAAAAAGGACATGGGTTCACTCAAATCAACCATTTTAAAGATGAGGAAGCTTAAGTTTAAATATGCTAAATGGGCCGGCAGATGGTGTGGTGAGTAAGGTGCTGGACTCCCACATGGCCATCTGTGGTTCCAGTCCTAGACCTGACGATTTGCCTTCTCACTTTCCCTCTCATGTTCTCTCTCTCTGGACAAATTTTTAAAAATAATAAAACAAATACAATTAAATAATTGTTTTAAAAATTAATAAATACACTAAAAATTCTTGTTCTTAGACAGTTATGTTGGATTATGAAACATTTGAAAATTGGTCGCAATAGCAGCTATTAACAACTTCAGGGACTTAGGCTTCTTGAGTAGTCAAGTCAGGATCTGGTCTTGGCGAACTTGTGAGGTTCCTTGCTTTTCCTGTTTTCTCATCTCCTGCTCCGTGCTGCCTCCTCTGGTATTACCCTGGGCCCTATTCATATTCTTAGCTAACTTCATCTAATTTGTCAGTTGAGGGTTAGAAGTCTAAATTGGCCCACTTCCAATGATACCAATGATCTTAAGAGGCAGGCATCTTTTTGTTTCCCAACACTCAGAGCTCAAGACTCCCCACATATGTCTTTGTTGATGAATTCAGAAAAGAGATTTTAGCTTGGCTTATAATAAAGGTGATCACTAAGAGTGATACAGAGACTTTCTTTTAACTCCCAGTGTGGTTGAGCTGCCCACCAGTCATCACAGATGTTAGGCGCAGTGCTAGGGCTGTGTTTTAGTGTTTCCACTGGTTAGTTGCTGGGTCATCGGGAGGCTGGGGCCTTAGAGGAAGGGCAAGAGAGGTATGTTTCAGAGTAATGACTACTTACATGTAAGTATATAAAAGGTCAAAATTTTTGTGATCTGTTCATCATTGTCACCTCATCTACTTCCCTGTTCATCCCAGTCTGCCAAATTCCACTGAGACCTTCTTCCCATACCTGCCCATTTTTTGTTTGTTTGCTTCATTTTAAATCTATTTATTTTACATTCATTCACTGTGCCCATTTTATATCTAGGACAAAATGGCTTCCTAGATGAAGACTTACCTCATCATCAGATCCCTTGCTACCCTATTCCCTAGGCTTGAAGGCTCCACTGGAATCTCCCTCTTCTCTGAGTGCTTTAAATGATTTTCTTTTCTATTTATTTCCTTGAAAAAAATTATTCCTTTGTTGAACAAATCTAATCAAGATGGCCGAGAATTATTTTATATTGTCTCTTTATATTTTTTAGTGAAATTTTAAGTTTATTTATTGATTTCTTCTGCAAAAGAGACAGAGAGAAAAGGGAGAGAGACAGTCATTTCCAACAAGGCCTTCACATTGTGATCCACTCGTGATCTCGGCAAGCCTGGATCTTGGGCACAGGAACGTGTGTGTGCAACTGGCATGTTCGGGAGGGGCCTGGGATACAAGCGCGCACGAATCCAGCTTCACGACCACTATATCACCACTTGGCCCCTCGTGTTGTTTCTTTAAACTAGCTTCACTTTCCTTGTTTATAAAATGGAAAACATAACTGATATGTAACTGATTGGGATGCTATGAACATTTATTTAATGAGATGGTACATTTAAAGCATTGAGGATACTGCTTAAACCACGATAGATACTAGGATTAAAGGGAACACATTTTAGTCTACAAGTCCAGGTATGGAATAAACGTATTTTAATTAAAAGTATTTTCATTGCAAAATAGTCCAACCGTCTAAGATATAGCCATCAGTATGATGGTTTCCCACCATCTATCTTGACTGAATTTCTTTTTGCCTTATTTACTTAAGAGTTCTGAAAGTGGACATTAGAGATATTATCAAAATTCCTTGTGAAATGTAACTTTCTC